AACCATAGATAGTTTCATCGAAAAGTCACAACCCTACAATACATTGATAGTTATAATACATCTATTTTTAAAACAAACAAATGGTACGTAACTTTACAATTTATTAATAACCATATTGAAAATTCACAACTCTGCGATACAATGATAACTAAAATATAATTATTTTCGAAAAGACAAACGGTGTGTCATATGATATTTTCTAGGATTGCTATTATTTATAGATAAATTATTTTTATTTCCTGTTTCATATTCACGTATTTACATCTTATATTTATGTATCCGAATAGTAACATAACGCACTCCAATTTTTTGTGTGAAACAAGTAACAATACAAAAATGATAGTACAAATAGTGATTAAAAATTATAGTATAGTAAAAAATAGTATTTTATTTTTTTGTAATGATGTTATACTGATTGGTTATACAATAGATAGTAACAAGTTGTCCTACTCTAACAATATGTAACAAGCCATAATCTATATTTGATATGGTCTTACAAAATCGAGTATGCCATTAGGAAAACAGATCATTTAGATGTATATAAAAATCAACAATAATGCCACTAAAACAAAAATCGAGTCTATCAAAGGAAAACGACAAAACTTGACGATTACAAAGCTCGAATCTTCCCTGTTTACATGATTAATTTAATATACTATAATTCGTTTTCAATAATTGAATTAAAAAATAAAACATTCAATAACTGAATATATATTTCAATAACAACAATATGTTTCACATTTTAATAATTTATCGAAACTTTGCTTGTATAACTTTTTTTTATATGGTTTCAATCAAAAGTGAAGATGAAGAAAGTTCCTAATATGGTGAAAGGGATCAACTGTTGTTCATTTTCAAGCTATCGATTTGATGAATGTGGGATTCTGAGGTTTCATTACAAAAATATCCAATAGAGACCAAATCGAGATTCCAAGGTTTAATATGCACAAAATGTATTACATCAGTAAAGTGTTTTAAAGGCTTAGTAGCTTTCACAAGTGAAGTCACTGGAGATGAATTTTTATGCACACAAACAAGTGCGGAAACGGAATTTTAACCCCTAAGTGATGCGTGTGGTACCGCCGGTAATCCCCAT